GGACTGACACCTCCCACGGACGCCACACAGAATCCTCAATACTGGAAAATCTAACCAACAATGCAAAAGATGATACCCCACGACCAAGTGGTATCCTCCAGGTGTGCAAGGCGGGTTCACCATTCAAAAATAAATAACACAAGCCATCACATCAACCAACTAAAGCAAAATCGCATGACCCCATCAACCGTGGAGAAAGAGCATTCAATAAAATCCAACAGCCACTCATGATAAAATTCTTGGCAAACTAAGAAGACAAGAGAACTTCCTCGACTTGATAAGGAATACCTACAAAACTCTACAGATTACCATGAACTTAGACAAGAAGATTGAAACTTTCCCACCAAGATCAGGAACAAGGCCACAGTGTCTTTTCTCACCAATCCCTTTCAACATCATACTGGAAATACTGGATAATGTAATGAAAAATGAAAAGGAAATAAAAGACATACAGATTGTGAAGAAAAAAAAGAAAATGTGTTTGCTCATAAAACATGTATCTATATAGACTATGCAAAAGAATCTATCTAAAAATCTGGAAATAATAGTGATTACAGCCAGCTACAGGACACAGGTTTAATAGACAGAAGTCAGTGCTCTTCTATGCATTAGCAGTGAACAAGTGGAACTTCAGATCTAAACTATGATACATTCCCATTGACACTCCAAAAATTAAAATATTTAGGTATAATTCTAAGAAAATATGTATAAGATCTAAATGAGAAAAAATACAAACCTCTGATGAATGACATAAAAAGTAAACACACACATATATATATGTAAATAAATAAAGAGGTTCTGCATGCCCCTGCATAGAAAGATGCTCAACATCAGTTCTTCCAAACTCAGTCTAGTCCAAATCCCAGCCTTATTCTCTGCTGTCGACAAACTGATTCTGAAGTTTACATGGAGTGGCAGAAGCCCCCGAGAGCTGAGGCCAGGCTGAAGAGTGAGTGAAGAGCGGCAGCCAAGGCGGGGTGCTGCCGGCCAAGAGGCAGACAGGGCAGACCAAGAGAACAGAGCAGCCAGAGGCGCCTGGCCACACCAGTCAGCAGCAGAGCTCGGCCCAGCAGCAAAGGCTGCTCAGGAGGACGGCGCCTTCCAATAAATGGTGCTGAGCACGCAGGTGCACACGCGAAAACCGCCACACCCCAGCCCCCCCTCACTCCTGCCCAGTCTTCCCTCCCCCCAGCCCCCCCTCGCTCCTGCAGCCCTGAGCCTCTTCCCTGGGCCTCCGGCCAGCGCCGTGCCACGCCACTGGAACGCCTGGAAACTGCACCGACCTGGCCGGAGGTGCCACGGCACAGGTGCTCCAGCCCACCACCGCCCGTCCCCAGAGCCGAAGGCAGGGTGCCCAGGAGCACAGGGACTGGCCCTGTGCAGCTGCGACATGTCATTCCATCAGGGTTCTGCTTTGTTTTGTTTTATTGGCATTTACTCTTTGGCTCACATTTTTTAAATCATTTTTCTTTTCTCTCCTTTTTCTCCTTTTAACACCTCATTTTCCTTCCTTTTCCCCGCGTTGCGTCCACCCCGGCCTCTCCCTGACCTTCTGTTGCCTTTCCTTTTTATCTGTGTCCTTTCTTAGCTTTTTAGCCTATTCCTTATCATTTCTGCCCCTGCTCTTCCTGCTGGTTTCACTTTGTGTCTGGTCTGCTGCCGTCTGCTATTGTGACTGTGCTTAGCTTCCTCTTTCTATGCCATGCTGGGACCAAGCCCAGCACCCTGAGCCCACCCAGCTAAGACCCAGCCCTACCCCACCCATGACGCAGCCCATTCAGGTCAGCAGACACTTCTACTAAAGAACGGGAAGTAAAATCCCTGCAGATGACCTGTCCACACAGGCTTTGGCTCCTGGATATGGACCCCTGGATATGGACAGCAGAAAGAAATACAGAGACGGTGACACCTTGCCAACAAGGGGCCGCCGCAGGGTCACCCCCAGGCCTTCAGGAACACACTGAAGACTGGACTGGAGCAGCGACTATAGACCAATGTCCCTGATGGACACACACGCAAACATTCTCAATAAAGTGTTCCCGAGTGAAACTCAGCACGGCTCATGACCAAGTCGGTTCCACTCCAAGGTACAAGGATCGTTAAACACATGAAGACCACTGAAGATAACCAGCACGTCAGTAGAAACAACAGTAGAAATCACCTGTTCACCTTACTAGATGCAGAAAGAGACTGATAAAATTCAACACCCCTTCATGATAAATGCCCTAAAGAAACTAGGTAAGAAGGATGGTACCGCCAAGTAATAGACGGGGATGAACCAGTGAACAAATTCAGCAAAGCATCAGGGCCCCACATACACAAAGAGCAGCAGTGTTTTGTTTTAGTCAGCTTTGTTGCTGCTGTTATAAAAGACCCACCAGCACAACTGTAGAGGAGGAAAAGTTTATCTGAGGGCTCACGGTTTCAGAGATCTTAGTCCATAGAAGGCTGACTCCACTCCTCAGGACTCGAGGTGAGGCAGAACCTCACCTCGTGATTAATTATTGCATAGAATTAAAAACCTTCTGTACTGGTGGAAGAGTGCGGCAGGGGGAGCAGCCCATGATGGTGATCAGCAAGCAGACAATGAGGCAGTCCAGCCTCCAGACACACAATAAATAAGCCATAGCCACGCCCCAATGCCCCCTCCTCCAGCCACACCCACCACTTCAGAGTCCACTCAGTTAATCCCCGCAGGGGATTAATTCACTGACTGGGTTAAGACTCACAACCCATCATTTCTCTGAACTTTCTTGCATTGTCTCACATGTGAGGTTTTGGGAGACATCTCACATCCAAACCGTAACACCTTTCTATACCAATAATGAACTCACTGAGAAACCAGGAAAACAACCTAATTCACAACAGCCTCCAAAAACATGACCAAGGAACAAATCTAACAAGGAGGTGAAAGTCCCTACAATGAAAATCATAGAATGCTAGAAGACAATAGGAGATGGAAAGATCTCCCATGTTTGTAGGTTGGCAGAATTAATCTGTCTAAATGGGTCGGGTGCTGTGGGGCACAATTGTGATCCCAATGACTTGGGAGGCTGAGGCAGAAGGATTGCAAGTTCAAGGCCAGCCTCAGCAATTTAGTGAGGACCTCAACAACTTAGCAAGATCCTGTCTCAAAACAAAACGTTCAAAAGACTTTGAAACTACTTGAGGGAAACATCGGGGAGACATATAGATATTGGCATAAGCAACAATGTCCTGAATAGGATCCCACATACTCAGGAAAGAAAAACCAGAATTGTCAGGGGATTGCATAGAATTAAAAAACCTTCTGCACAGCAAGGGAAACAATCACAGAGTGAAGGACAGCCTACAGAACAGGAAAAAAATCCTTGCAAGCTATTCACCTAACAGAGGACTAATATCCAGAATACATAAAGAACCCAAAGGAGTTAACATCAAAAAAACAGGTAATCAAACTGATAAACAGGAAAATGAGCTAAAAAGATACTCATAAAATGAAGTTAAAATGGTTAATAAATATTTGCAAAAAGCTCAAGATCTCTGGCCCTCAGGAAAATGCGATCAGAACTTCTCTGCGATTCCATCTGACCCCAATCACAGAGGCTATCACAGATGATGATAATAGCAGCTGGTGCTTGTGAGGACATGGAGAACAAGGAAGCCTGTGCACCACGGGTGGGAATTTAAATCAGTACAGTGGAAAACAGTGTGGAAAGTCCCGCCATCCTGCTCCTGGGCACGGACACAGAACAAATGAAGCTGGCACACAGGAGACACCACATGGCCCTGCTCATGGTGGCACCTTGAGGTCAACACTGCTCGGTGCCCATGAACACCTGCAGTGAGACAAGAAAGACTGTGATGACCAAAGAAATGCAGAGGGAAGCCTTGGTCGCAAAGTAAAGTCAACTCACAACACATCTGACGGGATCCATCAGCACCTGGGCCTGTGACCTGCCCCGTCTGGCTCTGCTTGAAGGCCCAGTGAGGCCCCCATGGACCCTGGCCCACCACAGGAGCGTGTGAGGGACGCAATGTCCAACCACTCTCCACTGAGTCCTTCAGGCTCCTTCTCTGGAGCGGTACACAGCCCGCGGGGCGTCTGCAGCCCTGGGGTTGATCAGGCACCACTCCCGATAGCCAGAGTCTGGAACAAGCCCAGGTGCCCATCATCGAGGATGCACGATGGGGAATGGCCACACGTTCCCAAGAAAAGCAGTTGTCTCAGTCCATGCAATACCAGTTCATTACGAGGAAAAGCGATGACATCTCAGGATTCTCTGTAGCAGGGAAGAAAAGTGGGGCCCTAAACGCCCACCAGCAGAGGACTGGGAAGACAGGCCAGGGTGGAGGAAGCCCTGGGATGGTGCAGCAGCCCGGCTGACTGCCCTGATCTGCGCCTCACCGTGGCGTGCACTTCAGCAGTGAGCCACGTGAAGGACCACCACAGGTCCCGGCAAGTGAGGGGCAGCGTGAGCGGTGTGCACGTCGGGTTCCCTGAGGCAGAGCTTCAGGCCTGACCAGGCTGAACCGATAGTCCCCAGGCTTAGGCTGAGTCAGCATGGATATTCTTACCCTCACAGGGGCCTCCTCTATATTTTAACACAAGAACATCCATCTTTCTTTACCACTGATTTGCTACTGTTATTGCCTTTTCTCTTAATTAAGACAATTCCTTTAAATTTCATGGTCCTCCTCCTACATACAAATTCTGGTCCTGAGATCTTTGAGACCTTGTTCCCCTGGTCCCAGTTCCTGCTTCCTCCCTTCAGCACTCAGGATGGCCACACATGACCCCATTTTTCAGCTGGAAGGAGCACAGAGACACAACATGACAAATACTGTCAGTATTGAAAAACACCCTCTGCATTTCTCTTTCTCGCCATTAAAGGTGCATTTCCTAAGTTCTCCCTGCAGACAGTGAAACCAGATCGATCTTAAGCATTATAAAATTTCACCCAGATAAAGTCTGACAGATATGAGCAGCATGGGGCAAGAGGTTGCACAGGGAGGTGTACCTGGGGAGCCGCCGGGTTGAAGGCCACTTCAGAGACGGTGTCTGTGTGTCCAGCCAGCCGATGGGAAAATGTGCTGCAGCCCAGATTGTACACGTAAGCCTAGGAGACAAGAACACGGGTTCTGGGCGGGCTGGGTGGGGCAGGCTCCATACCCTGCAGGGGAGGGCCGTCTGCAGCTGATCAGTGTGCAAGCACGTCGCCCCCAGAGAGCACGTGTGCGCTCGCTCTCTCCTGGCACACCCCACAGTTCCCCAGCAGTTCAGAGCAGGGGTCTGTGTCCACAATTGAGGTTAAGGAGAAGAGATTTCTATTTCAAACTCACCTTAACGTCCCCGAGTGCAGGAGAAAGACGCCCCCGCGTCCCTCCAGCACCTGCCCTTGGTGTCCCCTCTGGCAACCTGGAGCTGGAGCCGTGCTCACCAGGGCTGCTTGCCGAGGGATCACCGATCACATCATGGGTACATACAGCCACCGGTGCCGTTGGGCTCTTCCTTTAGGGACAGGGAACATCCATGCTGCTGGGGCCTGAGAGGAGAGCACTGCCGAGTGGAGACACCGAGCACCTTCTGAAGATCGTGGTGACGGAGAGACGCCACGCCGCAGCGGGAGGAGGCCTGGCCACTGCTGCTCCCACAGCCTGATGTGGGGACGCCGCTTGTGCCGGACCGTCCCTGGACTCTGCCAGTGGCTGGGGTCTTGGAGTAGGTCTCCAGTGGAGTTCCCAGTAGGGGAAGTGCCTGTGTGTCACCTGGAGGCACACACTGCCCTCTACCGTCTGCACACAGTGCTGGTGCAGGGCCAACTCCCCTAACAGGCCTGCAGGCCTCACACCTGCACAGCATGTCACCTGCCACCAGGTGAGCACCACCAGGCCTGACCTTCGCTCTGGGCCTGAGGCTGCGAGCACAGCTGCTGGAACCACTGCCCACCGTGGTCCTGCCCAGAGGCCACACTGGCTTTTCTGCGAGCCTGCGGTCTTCCTTGTCCGCCAAGAACAGTGTCCTTCATCTGCGACTCAGGCCTCCTCCAGGGCCCTCTGGCTCATGGGTCTTGGCTTCTTCAGGACCAGTGAGCCCCAAGCTCTCCTCTCTGTGCAGGCAGAGTATGGGGAGGACCCTAGCAGGGCCTTGCAGGGCCCACGTTTCCGTACTGACAGGAGCCTCTTCCTCGGTGAGTCCAGACCTTCAGGGTCTCCTGAGTGAGGGTCAGCTCCTCATGTCGGTTCATAATGAAGACCATGAAGGTCTGGACCACGAGGAACTGACCCTCCTCAGTCAGGAGACCCTGAAGGTCTGGACTCACCGAGGAAGAGGCGCTCTCCCAGAGTGCTGGGCGTGGAATTGGGATTTGAAGCACAGCCTCAATTCCAAAGACGAGGAAGCCACAGTGGCCAGGAGAAGAGGGCGAGGTGTGAGGCTGGGATACAAAGCACGCGGGGCAGACAGAGGCTGACCCTCAGGAAGTGCAAGGGTGTTGCAGGTAACGAGAGGACACAGGAAGAAAGTGCAGAATGAGAAAACGAGTCCAGCCCAGGAGGACCTCCAGGGTGGGGCCAGGCCAGGGTCTCTGGTGCCGAGAGGTGAGGCTGCGTTTCCTCAGAGAGCCCAGGGAAGCTGTGCCTGCAGGAGGAGGGGGAAGGATGGCCGCTGCGCTGACGGCCGCAGACCACCAGAAGGGGGAAGATGGGGCTGCCCCCAGCAGGCCAGGCGGAGCCGCTCGCTGAGTGGTCATGCACACCCTTCACGTGGAGCCAGGGTAATTGCACTCATTAAGACAAAAGCCAGGTCCTACAGGAAGCAAACGACGTAACCCAAACGAAGCTCGTGACCCTTGGTGTCCTCTGCGGGCTGCTGCAGGACTGGAGCTCAAGCCCACAGGGATCTCAGGAAACCGCCTACACAGGCGTGCTGAGCTCGCACCACACACTGCCATCTCTGCCATCCGGGCAGACAAGAGGGCCCCACGTTCCCAGAGAGCCACTTGGAACCTAGGGACCACGCACACCTGTTGTCTGCCTGGAGCTGCAGGCCAAGGCTGCGCCTGCTCCTGGGAGGACCCTGCCCTCCCAGCCCCCTGCTCGCTCCGCAGACGCCAGAACAAAGCCAGCTTCTCCGTGGCTGCCATGCACCTTCCGGATTCCCTGGACACGTCTGAGAACTTCCTTCTTCCTAATCGTGGAGGATGGCAGTAGGGCCACCTGGAAGGGGCACAATGGCCTCAGGGGGACCAGCCCAGCCCTGGGCTCAATCAGGTGAGACTCGTCCTCTTTGCAGGCAGACATGTTTTTGTCACCATTTGCACCAGAGGGAAAATGTTTGGAAAAATATGAAAGATAATTCCTTAATCTTGGTTAAAGACAAAAAGGTCAGATTAAAAGCACTTAGTGAATCACAAATATGATGAATTAAAAGCAAGCTTCACTTAGATCCAAATTAAACTCCTAGAAATAAACTATAAGGAAAACATCTTGAAAGTATCCAGAAAGAAAATCAGCATAAAGGAAGTCCGTGGCAGGGAGCAGGGCAGGTTCTCGTCAGAGCCACGCAGCTGGGGCCCAGGTGCTGGGGAAGGGCGAACCAGGGCCTCCCGGGCGTCGAGGGCATCGAGGAAGGCGGGCAGTGCAGGAGCCATACAGCCGAGAGCTGGGCAGGAACCCTCCAGCAGGAAAGCAGCTCCACGGGAAAAGCTGGTGCCACGGGGCGCAGAGTGCACACGGCGCGATGTGGGTCTTGGCACCAGCCTAGGCCCCACGGCACAGGCGGGAAGGAGCCGGGTCCTCGCGGGGCCCACGTACACATTTCCTTGAAGTGGTGGACGACCATGCCAAGAAGCCGAGAAGGCCGGCGGGACACAGCTCCAGAACACCCAAGCACTCAGCACGCAGCTCGGGCAGCGTGAAGTGGAGTGCTCACAGCACACTGAAATGACCAAACCGGAAAGGCACAGTGACCAAAGAGCAGCAGCCAACACAGGAGACCAGCAGAGACCCGAGGACAGCAGGCTGCCCCAGACACCAGCGTCACACAGCACCCGTCGAGAGGAGCCAGCACGTGCAGCCACCTGAAGTCTGAAGTTCAGTCCCAGGCGTGGGCAAGCCACACCAGGGCCCAGCAGGACGGGACCCGAGAAGCCAAAAGCTGCAATGACGCATTGATGCCGAGGGCTTCCCATGGAACAGACTTACTCACACACACTCACACACACAC